ATGCATACATGCACAGTTTCGGTTGAAAACCGAAATAATGGATATGAGAAAACACCGAAATTATGCATATGCATACTTTCGTTTTAAAAGCGAAATAATGCATATGAAAAAAAAACGAAGTAATGCATACATGCACAGTTTCGGTTTAAAACCGAAATAATGCATATTGTAAAAACCGAAATAAAGCATACATGCACAGTTTCGGTTGAAACCGAAATAATGTCTAAATGCACAGTTTCCATATGCGCAATTTCGGTGCCCCTAAAATCATGGGGTGTCGCCCGTTAAATGATAAGTTTGCATTTTTGAGCCGACCACCGACGCGTAATATACCCCCAGGATCGAGTAGGGGGTGCAGGTTGACCAGCTTGCTCTTCGTGTCGATGCTCTTGCCCGCGCGCAACTGTTTCAGTTCCAGAGCAAACTCTTCTTGCTGTACTCGCCTTGTCCAAGATTTTAGCGCGGCATAGCGTTCACTCCACAGACAATGCGACGTTGTAGCATGGGCTTTTTCAAGTTTGGCGGAAATGAAGCGCTTGCTCCAGGCGGTGACAGCGAGTAGCCTACCAAGATCTGAATACTTCTCGAGGATTGATGACTCCGCCATTGCAGTCTGCGTGTTTAGCAACTTGATGGTTTTTATTTCAGGAAGCAGATGAGGAACCGGTTGGCGTAGTTGCGGCCAACTGTCTTCAGATGATTGTAGCCTCGGTGGCCCGGTCCACCAAAGCGCATGGTTGAGTAGCTGACCTGGCGATATTCCCCTCGATGCACAATCCGCTGGGTTGTCGGTTGTGCGCACATACCTCGATGTGTCGCTGGATGTGATTTCGTGTATCTGAGTGATTCGATTAGCGACGAATTCTTTAAGCTTGCCTGGGTTTGACCGAATCCATCCAAGCGCAGTGGTTGAATCCGACCAGAAAAACGTGTCGACAGTTTGCAACTTAAGAACTCCTTGAACCTTTTTGATGAGTTGGGCAGCCAGCAGTGCTGCACAAAGCTCGAGTCGTGGTATAGTAACCTTTTTGAGTGGCGCCACCTTAATTTTGGCTATAAGTAACGTGACATGTGCGCCGAGCTCCGAAACCCCCTTTAGGTACACCACCGCGGCATATGCTTGTCTAGATGCATCTGCGAATGCGTGATATTCCTACTAGGTGACATTGTTAGCCATTTGTATCCAGCGTGGAACTCTGAGTTTGCTCAAGCTCTCTAGTTCGGCACGAAGCATTCCCCACTCGTTTTGGATTGATTCAGGAAGCTCTTCATCCCAGCCGATCCCAAGCATCCATAATTGCTGGAATAAAATCTTTCCTCGTATTAGTACTGGAGCCAAAAAGCCCAGCGGGTCGAATAATTTCGCGACGTCTGAAAACAGTTGGCGCTTAGTGACTCATCGATCAGCAGGGTTAAGCGTGATTTTGTAGCCGAAGCAGTCGGCATGTGTCATCCAAACGATGCCTAAGGCCTTCGACTCGGTTTCAGTGCTAAGCTCGTATGGGGCCTTATCCCCACGATCTTCAGGATCAATTTCACGCAGCATGTCAGCAGAATTGGAGTTCCATTTTCGGAGTTTGAAACCTCCAGATAGCAAAAGTTGTTGTAGTTCACCTCTGAGTTTATTGGCCTCACCGAGGGTTCCAGCACCAGATAGAACGTCGTCTACTTAGAATTCGTTCAACAGTGTGGAACAGGCGTGCGGAAACTGTTGTTGTTCGTCTTTCGCAAGCGTTTGTAAAACCTTCATTGCAAGGAACAGCGCACGATTGGTTCCATAAGTAACCGTTAATAAACGAAAGGTTGTGGTTGCCTCTCGATCGGCGAATCGCCAGACAATTCGTTGCAAGTCGACGTCTTCTCGATGGACCAAAATTTTTCCGGTACATATCTTCGATGTCGGCTGTAAAGGCAATGCGGTATTTGCGCCAGTTTAAGACGACGGAAACGAGGTCCTTCTGTAATTTTGGCCCTGTGTGGAGGCAGTCGTTCAAAGACAACCCAGACCCACTTCGCTTTGATGCGTTGAACACAACGCGCAACTTGGTCGTAGTGCTTGACTCCTTTAGCACGCTATGATGTGGAAGGTAGCTGACACGTCCGTTGAGGCTATCGTCTTTAACCAGTTCCATATGACCAAGGTTGTAGTATTCGGACATGAAGTCGTGATATAGTTTGCGTACTGTGACATCTCGATTTAGGCGGCGTTCCATGGTACTTAATAACGATAGTGCAGCCTCACGTGTTGATGAAAGTTGAGAAAGGCCCGATTCATTTTTGACCGGGAGTCGGACCACATACCGACCTGTCTCAGTGCGTTGCGTAGTAGATTCAAAGAACTCGTTGCAAAATATCTCATCTTTAGTTAAGCTTTGTTGCACGGCTACCTCTTCCTGCTCCCAGAATCGCCGAAGAAGTTCATCAAGCTCCAGTCAAGTGCAGTAGCTGTCATAAGCAGCCTTCATTGAGAAGTTACCTCTTTCTGGTAGACTGCCGAAAATAACCCATCCTAACTGCGTTTTTTGTGCGATGACATTAGTGTTGGGGCTACGCTTGATATCGTTGAGCATTATCGTGGCGTAGTCCCCAGCACTCAGAATGACGTCGATAGCTCCTGATATGTTGAATTTAGGATCGGCAAGTTTAAGGTCCCAAAACGGTTTAAATTGTTCCGGATTACAGTTCACAGATGGACTCAGGTTTCCTACGCGTGGCAATACTAGAGCAGTGCAGCGCATTTCGAAAGTGGAATTAGTTGAACGTAGCGAGAGCTTCACCGAGCCAGTGGTTGTAGTCAACCTTTGACCGTAGCAACGCGAGGAGGATTTTCTTCGCGTTCGATTAAATAAAACCACTCGCGTTTTATATTTAAAACGTTATAATGTCTATTTATTATTTTAATAATTAAAATATTTATAAGGACATATGTATATTTATTTCCGTCCAACTTTCCGGTGGCCGTTTCCCGTGTGCGCGCGGTGATACGGTAGACTTTGGAATGTTTTACTTTTCTCCACTTTCTTTTTGCAGTATCAAGAAAGGTGAAAAGCAGAGAAGGTGTTAGGGTGCTCCTTCATTACAATCGGTTGATTGTACACTGCCCCTCCCCCCCCCTGCAAGGGCGTGCTGAATAGAGCGGTCTGCAGTGTATTCTACGCCATAATATTGAGTGTGTGGCGGTTTGGCGCTACGGCGGTATGCATTTGCGTATCATATTATTTTAGAATGTGGCGCTAACATTGGGCTTCGTGTTGCTGTCGTTTCCAATTATGGCCTTTCCTTGAGATGTCGTCCTGAAAAGGAAGAAAGCGAACGATTATGCAGAGGGCGTGCTCTATATGCATTTTAATCTTCTTGGTGTTGGGCGTATAAATATAAATATTTGTGTATTTTTGTAGTGTGCTTATGGTTTTGAAGGAGAGGGGTTTAATTTATTGCTCTTTGGTTTTAAAGTTTTGCGTTTTGTTTGTGCTCATGGGCTAGAGCTTATGGCGTTAAGGTCTTATTTATAGCGCTCTATTTTCATAGTTTTGCGGCGGAACCGCTTATCACCCAACCAAATATTGTTTCTTGCGCTATTACATTATCTTGTATTTTTCGGGCTCCGGGTTGGAGAATTTGTGGAAGTATGTCGCTTCCAATGACCAGATCTATGGGTGCTGGTTTGCTGAAATGGGGGTCAGCTAGTTCATGGGCATTGAACTCTTTGATAAATTCAGGACTTACGTGGGAAGTCGCTAAGTGCTCCGTTAATTGCTTGTGTATGACAGCTTTTGTAGTTATCTTCCACTTTGCCTTGCGGGGAGTTATATTTAGTGCACATGCGTTCTTAGTGCGTTTTAAGTTACATCCACCAATTGTAAATACTTCGGTTGGGAGCTTCAACCTCTTTTGAGCTGCTGACGAAATAAAGGTTCGTTGGGACCCTTGGTCAAGCAATGCTCTGAGTTTAAACTGTTCTCCTCGATGCTCTATTGTCACTATTGCAGTTGGGAGGAGAACTTCACTTTCATTGGCAATTCGGAGCGAATTAACATGTGCGGAGTTTGAGCAGGTGGGTTGCTTATCCGACTTGTAGCTTGATAACTCTTGGGGGCGATCTTTGGTGATCGCGTGCGCTATGCTGTGTTGCGCTATTATTTTTTGAGTTTGCGTATTGGTTGGGTGGTGATCATAGGGGATCACTTGCTCTTTATTTTGTGGGGCTGTGGTCTTTTGGATATGACCACAGCTTTCTTTTATTTGTCGATCGGGGTTGATCGATTTCTTAAGAATTTCTTTTATACCAGCCTTTTGAGAATGACCTCTGGATGTGTGTACATGTAGTAGGGAGTTATGTCTTTTCTGACAATATACACATGCAAATTGTGAGTTGCATTTTGCCAAACTATGATTGAAAGCAAGGCAGTTGGAACACAATTTATGCGTTTTAACAAAGTTTATGCGCTTTTGTGTTGAGAATTTTTTAAATATGGGGCATCTCTTCATCGGATGTGGGGTGTCGCATAAATAACAGGAAAACACCGCATTGGAATTTGTATGAAAAGCTTTTGTTTTACTGTGGGATTTTATTAGAGCAGAAGTCTTGGTTACGTGTTTTGGGAATTTCATTTCTACCCTCTCTAACACTTGAAATCTGGACGTTAGGAATTCGTCCATTTGAGACCATGAGGGAAGGTCTTTTCTGGAGGGCAGTGATTGCTCCCAAAATGTCCGGGTTTCTCTGGGCAATTTGGATACGCAAATGTGTACGAGGATGGGGTCTCAACTGTCTGTCAAAACCTTGTGGGCATTTAAAATGACCAGACATGTTTTTATTTTGCTTTGGAGATTAATGATCTGTTCACTATTTTCTTCGTGAACACTAGGCAGATTCATTAAAACTTGGATTTGGTTATCCACTAATATGCGTTTATTATCATAACGTTCGCTTAATGCTTGCCATGCCAGATCAAAATTCTCGTCGCTAAGAGAGAACTGCTTGACGATTTGACCGGCTTGCCCTTTTGTTTTATACCGGAGGTGGTATAATTTCTGAGCGGATGATAATTGGGGGTGGTTTATGTAGACGGCTGTAAACATATCTCGGAAAGATTGCCATTCTTCATAACCACCGTGGAAAATCTCTGTATCACATGGCGGGAGATGCAGATACATCTGAGGATTTTCCTCTATGTGTGAATTCTGTGCTTCTCGGGAGTGAGAGCTTGGGGGACTTATAGCTCGGATCAATTTGAGTTGATCTAAGATCTTCGCTTCTTCATTCTTCTTCATAAGTATCAATACTAAATTGATACTTGCCTTCCGCCAACGCCAAAAAATTATCTGGAAGGTCTTCCTCATCTTTTAGGAAAAGTGAGTCATATGCGGCTTGTAACCGCGCCCAGAGAATGTCAATAGTACTTTCTTTTATTTCGAGGGCCGACTCTGTGAATTCCTCTATGGGAGAAGAGGTGAGTCTGGCACAATATCTCATGAAGCCATCATTTTCGATATTAAATTTTTGCACACACGGGTCATGAGATGTTCTTTTTCCTGATTTCTTTGCTTCGGCAGAAGTCTGAAGCTTTTCAAAGATTTTGGCGGGAGTTGATTTCCTTGGAATTTTGGAACTATTTTTGGGGCTTTGTTCAGCTAGCATTTTTGATGTTAAGAAATTTATTTATATTTTAGTATTTTGGTATATAAAGGAGGCTTTTAATTGAGCAATTCTTGTTATTCAGTGTTTTTGCGGACTGTATGTATTTAAATGTATGTGTATTTGGGACTCGTGGAATTTTCTGCTAGGTTTTATTAAATATTTTAGTTTTGTATATATATTTATATATGTACTCTTTTAAAAGTGGTTCGAGAGTGTTCGTTTTTGTCAATATAAATTTTTGGGTAATTAGTAAATTTGCTGCAGGGTTATTACCACCAAATTTACTGCTGGGTTAACTTCNTTATGCACAAAAAATTTACTTTATAAATTGAAATTACAAATGTTTGATTTTATTCACATGTATTCCAAGTCCTTAGCATGAGTTAAATTATGTCTTTTTTATGAAAATGTTTGGTTTTCTTACAAGTTATGAGATGTATATGTAAAAAAAAAATTTTTATACATTTGGATACATTTTTGGCTTGGTCAGGGATACATTTTCTTGAGACGGCGCGGCAACACTGGCGACAATTCGTTTTTAACAGCTGTGCTTTGCAATGCACGCTAGTTTGGTTTGAGGAGGCGCTTCGTAATTATGCGCAAATAGATCGGGTACATATAAGTAGGTAGGCAAAGGGATCACCATGCATTTATGTATGTATATACGTATGTTTTGGCGCTTACTGGGTGAGCTCAACTGAGTTAATAATTTTTATTTCTGACAATAGAGCTTTCTTTTTTTTTATATTTACGTATTTATGTGAGTATGTTCATACTTATGTTTGTGTAGTGAAATTAAAGGTTCTCTAAGAGTTTTTTTGCAATGTCGAAAATATATATGCGTACTAAATATGTTTAGTTTACTCTTACGTCCCTTAGGGTTTTCCCACTTTTTAACCGACTTCCAAAAAAGGAGGAGGTTATCAGTTCGTCGGAATATTTTTTTTTTTTTTTTTTTTTTTTTTTTTTT